AACAAATAAATTTTTTGCTTATTCTAAAAAAATGTTAATATAATAAGTATATTCAAATAGTTTAATTAATCGTTCGGATATCCGTGATCACCCTCTGTAGATTAAAAAAAGCAAATCATTTAAAAGAAAAGAATAAAATAGTTACATACGATCATGTTGGCTATCCTCTAATTCTTTTTGAATATCCTAATCTTCTTGAACATATATACAATTCAATTGAGTTTGATGCAGCTGATGCTAAAAGAAGAAAGGAAGTAATTAAAGTTAGATCAGTTACATATTTACAAAAGGAATTAGAAAATAATTATAATGATACTTATCAATAAATACACTTCACAATCATATGTTACCAAACAATAAAAATTCTATTGCAGCAAGAGCCCATCACCATCCTGCAATGGTTGAAATAGCTAGTGTTTTATGAAGTAAAAGAAAAGAACACATTGATTCACATTATTGTTTAGCTTTAGTAAAGGTATCAAAATCATTTGCAAACACATTTTCTGATTTAACAGTTATGATATCTCAGGATGATAAAGTAAAGGTCAATGTTGGTATACCTGCTGTAGGATGTACTGTACATTTCAAACAATACAATCAATTACTGAGCCTGTAGAAATAGAAGATTATGATTTTTCAATTGGTGTATCTCAAAAACTAATTCCAAGTGTTTATTTAATGATTAATCCGGCTGATTCAAATGATACGATGAGAGCAGGGCAGCTTGCGATTTATGTATGACTCCAATGACATATTGACATGAATTCTTTGACGTATATACAATATTTGATTAATCTTGCATCAATGACAGAATACAAAGAAATTTTCAAAATTAATGATATAATCAAATCGATTTGGGTAATACTAGTAGATGAAGGACTGGACGAGAATCCCTGATATCTTAAAAAGGTATATCAGTATTGTTGTCTATTCAAAAAACTGGATCTTGACTATTTGACTATATGTATACATGCTTCAGGTCAATCTGCATTTAATCCCGTTGAAAAAGCTATGGCGACTTTATTCAAGAAACTAGCCAGAATTTCTTTTCTTATTGATAAATTTGGCAAATATCTTAATTCTCAAGAAAAAGTTGTTGATCAAGAGCTTGGACTACAAAATTTCTGACATGCTGGTGAAGCTTTATATACAATTTGGCGATGTGATAAGATTTTTGGTAAATCTGTCTATTCTGAATATATTGATGAACAACCAGTTCCTTTGTTAGATGTAACTTTTAAGACAAATGCAGGAATTGATGATAGTAATAATAAAATTGCTGAACAGGTTCCATGGGTTTGGATTAAAAATCATACTCAAATGTGCAAGTATTCTTTAGATATATAAAAATGTACAAATCCAGAATGCTGTTCACAAAAACGAGCTCCTGAAGTCAGTGTTGGCACATGACTTTTTATGACCTATATGACTTATATGACCAATGACCAGTCATATGATCATAAATTAGAA